TTGAAGGAGCCAAAAGGGGGCTGATTCCTAGGAACTAGTGGCTGGTAGCCTTTCTGATACTTCCTGGAGGGTGATTCACTCAGGAAAAACACACGTCCTTACTTTGATCTTACAATTCTCCCAGAAGCCTCTCTGACCTCAGGTCCACGCTTGGACCCTGGTACATTCCATTCCAGCCACTCCAGCCCCTGTGCTGCTCCTCAAACATGCTGCGCCAACACACATGCTATTTTTATGCTCTCTACCTGGAATGTTCTTTTTCAAAATATCACGGACAGCAACCTCACGTCAGGTCTCTACTCAAAAGTGACCTTCTCACCCCTATCCCAATATTGATACCCACCTTGGGTTTTACTATTTCTCCTTAGCACTTATCACTATTCAACATACAACATACAAGCTCCATAACGGCAGAAACTTTGGTCTTGTTTGCCACTCCATTCCCCAGCACGTAAAACAGTGCCTGGTAAAACATAAGTGACTCTGGTTGATAAGACTATATAATTGAAATTTGCTAAGAGGGTAGAACTTAAATGTTTCACCAGAGATATATACATACATACCTCTGTACATAAGAAAAAAGTCATTTGAAGAGAAGAGAAAACAAAAGAAAGTTTCAAAAACAAAACCTCAAAACGGTGCCTGGCACATAGCAGGTGCTCAATAAAATAGTTGTTAAGTGAATGAATAATATGTTCAGGGTGCTCAAAGAAGACCCCACCAATCGTCAAACCAGGAAGGAAGGGATTTGGTCTCAGCTTGTGTGTGGCTGAGGCATTTTCCAAGATGACCCAGAGCATCTGGGTTATTCCCTCCACCGCCAGGAATGGGTATCATATGATGGCACCAGGTGGGCTTAGAAGCTGACAAACCCTCGGCCAGGTAAGCACTGGCAAGAGCAGTGGAGCAGCAGTAGACAGGCTAACCCAAAAGATCCTGGTAGGGGCAGAAATTTCCCCAGGATAAATGGTAGGCTTGTATCTTACCTGTAAAGGAAGGCTTCCATTGGTGACAGGACCCATAGCCAGTTGTCCTGGTTAATGGGCCTCTGTCATGCTGTTCATGAGGTTACAACCAACTAAAGTCAAGTGGATGAGAAGAAATGTGTCCTTTGCCCCTTTGCACACCCTCTCTGATAAGCACCTCAAACTCAACTCATCCCAAACTGGTCACTCCCTGCCCCTAACCTGTTCCTTCAGGGTCCCCTATCTCAGTAACTAGTTCTACCATCTACCCAGTACCCAGGCCTGAAACTTGCATCACCTTTAACTCCTTCTGCCTTCACCCCTTATTGCTAATTCATCTCCAACCCTGTCAACCACCTTTTCACTCATTTGTTTAGCAAATATTCATTCATTCTGTGAGCACTGTTGTCTCAAGTAGAATGTTGTGGGATGCATGTGGGATCTAGTTCCCTGACCAGGGATCAAACCTGGGCCTCCTGCCCTTGGGAGTGCAGAATCTTATCTACTGTGTCACCAGGGAAGTCCCTTGTGGAAGTATTGCAAGAGCCTCCCAACTAGTCCCCTGCTTGTACCCTTGCTCCTCAACATAGCAGCCAGTGCTCCTGTTAAAACTTAGACCATGTCACTCCTTGGCCCAAAACCCTCCAATGACGTCCACTGTAGTCTAATAAAAGCCTGAGTTCCTCCAATGGCCTACAAGACCCTGTAAATCTGCTGCATCCCTACCCATCAGACTTTATCTCCCACCATTTCTTCCTAGAACACCCCACCCCAGCCTCTCTGGCCTTCTGGTGTTCCTCAAAGAGCAGGCCTGCTCCCACATCAAGGCCTTTACGCTTGCTGTTCGCTCTTCCTGGAATGCTCTTTCCCCAAACACCTGCAGAGATCACCCACTCACTTTCTCCAGGTCTTTGTTCAAACATTACCTTCAGTGACACCTTTTATCAACTCCCCTCCTCCCCCCAACCCACAAACACCTCAGGTCCTCCTTTTTCTCATTTGATACCTGTTTTGTGTATTCTGACCGTCTATTTTCCACACTAGAATGTAAACTCCACGAGGCGGGGATTTTCTATCGTTTACTTACTAACGTGTTCCCTAGCACCTGGAGCAGAGCTTGGTACAGCGCGTGGGCACGGTATTTGCTGACTAAATGACAGATGGAGAAATAAAGGCTCAGTCAAGTTCCTTACCCGAGGTCTTCATAGTAAGTGGTGTGCTGCATTCTAGAGCCCTGCCCTGGATCTCAACCCTAAGTTATACTCCCCTGTTTGTCAATCATCAGGCAGAGAGCCAGAGGGGAGCTCTGACCTGAAGGTACAGGTTATTTGTTAACTGAGATGCCAGCTTCATCCTGCTCGCTGGGTAAGAACAGTCCTGGTTTCACAGGTTTTTAGAACACATGGAGGTATCTTCCTATCTGTCTCTGGTCATATTGTTTGGGAAACCCTCCTCCCTGGAAACTATCCTGAATAATAAGAGAAGAGCAAGAGCTTTCCCTATCCGTATTGTCTGAATAGGGCCATACCATCCCACTATGGATCATTCCTGCTTTTCCACCAAACTGTATATAGCCTGACACAAGAGTTACTTGCTCACATCATCATGATCTTGAATCAGGAGTTTCTGGAAAGAAGTTCTCTGTACTTTTTTTTGTATAGCATCTATGACAGAACTGAAGGCCCTCGAGGTAAGCTTTCTGCTAAGGTAAAGCTTTTCTGCAAATGACGACAGAAAACGCAAAACAGTCAAAACTACATAAAGTATATATGTACAAACGAATCCAAAAGATTGATGACAAAGACCAAGTGGAAGAACGAGTCCTCAGGGAAGGGAAATACCACATAAAGGATTAGGGGTGAGCGTGAGAATATACAGGTCAAGGGCAAGCTGGAACCACCATTGATACTAAAGTCGTTGATTTAATCCCAGCTCCTATCCTAAATAGAGGTAGGATTTACTAGCAGCTCTCAGACTTCAGCAAAAAGCCAAGTCAGATAAAGGCAGTATGTACACACAAGGACTCTGCCTTGGATTCAGAGATAAACCCTGCTGTGGTCATGCCATTTTATCTGCGGCCTTGATCTACTTCACTCTGCCCCCTGCACACCCACCAAATATTAGGGTGCAGACTGCCACCTCTTTCCCTCCTTGGCTGGCCTCTTTACTCCTTCCCCTGATTGGTCAATACCTCAGGAACCTTCCAGTATCCTCTGGCCATCCCTACACCTCCCATAAACTGTAGGTGACCAGGTCAAAACAATCACATATTAAAAAGCTAGTTACTGGGACTTCCCTGGTGATCCAGTGGTTAAGACTCTGCGCTTCCACTGCAAGGGCCGCGGGTTCGATCCCTGGTCAGGGAACTAAGATCCTGCATGGCACGGGGTATGCCCCCCCCCCAAAAAAGCTAGTTACTGCTGCCACATGAAAGGAAGACTAAAGAGGCAGCTGGAGCAGACCAAACAGGCCTAAGACAATGAGAGGTTATGGGAATGGAGAAGGAATGGTTCTGAATGACACTTCTGAGAAAACACCAGCAAGTGGCACTCTGGAGTGGAGCACTGAAGAGGACTCCGGGTGAGGTGCAGTGATGGTCCTGCTGCCACTCGGCACTCAGGCCACTGCTTCACACTACTCTTCACGTAGTGGGTTGGCCAAAAGGTTCATTCTGTTTCTTCCGTCAGATGGCTCTAGTAGCACTTAGTTGTCTTTAACTTCATTCAAAACAATTTTGTTAGACTGTACGTGACAGCTGTCATATCAGTGTGCATTTAAAAAAAGACTTATCAAAGTTGGTGAATTTTTATGTAGCCATTTTAATATTGAAGATGGAAGAAAAGCGCAACATTTTCAGCATATTATGCTTTATTATTTCAAGATAGGTAAAAATGCAACCGAAATGCAAAAAAAAAAAAAAATTTGTGCAGTGTATGGAGAAGGTGCCGTGACTGATCGAACGTGTCAAAAGTGGTTTGCAAGGTTTCGTGCTGGAGATTTCTCGGTGGACGAGGCTCCACAGTCGTGTAGACCAGTTGAAGTTGACAGCGATCAAATCGAGACATTAATTGAGAACAATCAATGTTATACCACGCGGGAGATAGCGGACATACTCAAAATATCCAAATCAAGTGCTGAAAATCAGCTGCGCCAGCTTGGTTATGCTCATCGCTTTGATGTTTGGGCTCCATATGAGTTAAGCGAAATAAACCTTCTTGATCATATTTCCACATGCGATTCTCTACTTAAATGTAATGAAAAGTTCCATTTTTAAAACAAATTGTGACGGGCGATGAAAAGTGGATACTGTACAAGAACGTGGAATGGAAGAGATCGTGGGGCAAGTGAAATGAACCACCACCAACCACACCAAAGGCTGGTCTTCAGCCAAAGAAGGTGATGTTGTGTATATGGTGGGATTGGAGAGGAGTCCTCTATTAAGAGCTCCTTTCAGAAAACCAAACGATTAATTCCAACAAGTACTGCTCCCAGTTAGACCAACTGAAAGCAGCACTCGATGAGAAAAGTGTACAGAATTAGTCAACAGAAAACGCATAACCTTCCATCAGGATGACACAAGGCCGCGTGTTTCCTTGATGACCAGGCAAAACTGTTATAGCTTGGATGGGAAGTTCTGATTCACCCACCATATTCACCAGACATTGCACCTTCAGATTTCCATTATTTTGGTCTTTACAAAATTCTCTTAATGGAAAAAATTTCAATTCCCTGGAAGACTGTAAAAGGCACCTGGAACAGTTCTTTGCTCAAAAAGATAAAATGTTTTGGGAAGATGGAATTATGAAGTTGCCTGAAAAATGGCAGAAGGTAGTGGAACAAAAGGGCGAATACATTTTTCAATAAAACGTTCTTGGTGAAAATGAGAAATGTGTCTTTTATTTTTACTTAAAAACCGAAGGCACTTTTTGGCCAACCCAGTACTAGCACTTGGTTCCTCTAGGGTAATAAACATATATCTACTAGGTAACAAATGACAGACAAATTTTGTCAAATTAAAGACAAAGTACATCAATATGCATTGGCAATTTTTAATGTTTCACTTGTGCAGAGCTGAAATTTGTATTTAAAGGCACGGAAGGAAGGAAAGGCAGTTATCACAGCATGAATTCACAGATGAAAGATGCTGGATCAAATCATAGCACTGTTCCTCTTTAGCCTTAGGAAAATAAATAATACGGTACTAAACTAGATGTTTATTTTTATTATATTTCCATGTAAAGACATCACCCAAATATCAGCTGAGCAAAAGACTTTCTGGCCAGATACCAAGCACGCACAGTTGATCCCACTTTGGAATAAATGCCCAGAAGGTACACATCACCAGTGGGTGGGAGCGCTAGGCACAAAGTTGGGTCTCATTCAGAAAGTGGACAGAGATTTGAATCAGTCAAACATGCAGCTTCAAAAACTGGAAATCTTTCATGACATTTGTTTTGAAAATAAAACTTGTCTGCATATCAAGAACTATAATTTTCTAAAATGGAATCAGGCCTGATTAAATAGCACTTAAGACTTACTGATAAAAATTAGAAAAATAAAAACGAAAACTCTTCTCTCCTTGAAAGAGATAGAAAATTATATTTTTTCCCTGTAACATCATAAGAGAATCATCAGTATTTCAATCTTACATCTCTTAAAATGTCATTTCTTCTTCTTTCCACATTCTCCCACTTTTAAAATAGCAAAGCCTGTTCAATATGGCAATTTTTGCTAAGTAAAAGGATGTACTATTTATTGAATACAAGAGTATGAGTGAGAAAAAGCTGAATGTTTAGAAAAATACTCGTTTACCCCTAATGGGATCATACCCACCAGGTGGAAAGAAAGAGAAAGACTTTCTTAAAAGCAAAAACAAAACCCAGTGATTTAAAACATTCTGTACATAATTCCTAATTTCAAAGCATTATTAGAAACTCCTGATCAGTGTATAGCAAGAGAGGGAACAGAGAAATTTGATAGAACAGGAGAGAGCATATTTCTAACTACTTTCATTTACAAAACATCAGCCTTACCAATTATTAGCTTTCTTCCTTATTTAAAACATTGATTGGCCAGCTTAAATCATAACAGCATGAAAGTAAAAATAAGTCTCAACTTAGGTATGAGCACAGTGACTCAGGACCACTGTTTCTGCCTTACAGAGAGGATTCAGAGGTGTGTTCCCTTTTAAACATATGCCCCCAAACGCCTTATATGCAGGTTCCATATAAGCATGTAAATAAAACAAGTTCTGTATTTTCTCAAGTAATTTTACAAGTTGACGGTAAACTAGATTTTAAAGATAAAACTAAGCCTTTAAAAACATGAAGCCTCAAAATTTCATCCAGTGTTTTCTTTAAGAAATGGATTATTAAAATCATTTTTGAAATGAGATATTAAATGTATTTAAATCTTGGCTTTTCCATACTTAATAATTTTTCTTCAAAAAAAAAAAAAGTTTAAAAACATCAAGAGCCAAAACATGCTGCCAGGACAGGAATAATCAGAAACGTCTTCAGCTGCAGACCCTGGGCAACTCAGTCTTGTTTTGAATTTTTCAAAGCCTGGAGTCTCTCTAGTAGTGGAGGATGAGAATAATGCCACATAGAGAACAACCAGTCAGAAACAGGGAAACCCAAGTTATCTTTGTTTAGTTTGATTAAAGCAGAATATAAGTCTTTAGCCTTCCCAAGTTTCTTGGCAAATGCATCAGCTTGAAATTCAAATCTGCGGCTTAGGACTGTTAGGCAAAAAGAAAGAACCTGAAAAAGTAAATAAAAGTGTTTAAACCACTGCTCCCCTCTTTGTTGTCACTAAAGGTTTCATGAGCCAAAACTGTAGAGGAAGTTTGGCTCAGGATAAGAGAAACAGCAGGCCAAAAGAAAGATCACTCATATTTAGGGGACCTAGGGTGGGGGAATTATTAAAAATTGAGCCTTTTCCCCCCAAGCCAACAGACCAGAAACAGATATATGTCCAAAGGAATGTCAGTGTTAACAAAGAAATACTAACATTTGAGAGCCTGCCATGTGCTGGGCACTGAATTGACACTTTACATATTCTCCAACAATCCTACAAGGTAATTACTCTTACTCCTGTTTTACAGATGAGGAAGGTGTATCTCAGAGAGGTGAGATACTTGCTTGTAGTCACACTGCTAGAAGGTGGCAGTGCTGAAATTCTTGATGATTCCAAAGCCCATGGACACTACCTTCCTCAGATACAGGTAAGATGTGGTGATTTATATTCAGACTCTTTCTTTTTTAAAAAAATTCTTGCTCACTTATCCACCTTTAAATGATAACTGAGAACATTCTAATATATATATGTGTGTGTACACACACACACACACACACATATATATATATTATAGCCACTAATGACAATCTCAAAATAGAATTTTCTAAAGTGTTCTGAGCTATGGTAGCTTCATCAGAATAAATGTTCAGTCCCTGAAGGTGACAACTATGAAGAGGACAGATTTCATCCGAAAATATAAATTTTGAGGGAGAAGTAATTTATTTGCATATTGAAGTAAGGTTGAATGACATGATGTCTATTTCTTACCTTAAAATATGTCAGCAATAAAAAAAAAAAAGTTTACTTTTTTTTACTCTGTACCTCTTATTGCCACTAGCAGATACAGAGTTTCAACATAAAGTCTGGGAGTTCCTGATACCTTCTTAGATATGTTCAAAGTTAATATCTGAATTCTACCTGAAATTTCTTTCCACATCTTGAATGTACTTTTTGGGACAGAATCATTAACTAGTATCTATCTATCTATCTATCTATCTATGTATCTATCTATCTATCTATCTCCTGATTTCAAGTGTCCCAGGCTAACTGTTCCTTGAATCTCACTGTAAGACATAAATAGAAACATAAGCAGATACTAACCTATACCTACCTACTCTGCTGTAGGTTTCCAAGCTCTTCTTGATGGGACAATTTCCCCATTTTCTGGGAAAGTATGTCTTTCCTATAATGACCTCTTAAATGCTGACATTAAACATAAGATTTTCTGTTTAAATATTTAGTCTTTTTGAAATGAATCTCCTGGGCTCACCAAGGTTTTTAAAACAGTTGCTAATATCTCACATTTCAAATTACTCTAATACCCCACATTTACTTAGACATTTTTTGAAGTGAACTCAACTACTCAATATAAGGAGACAAAGACAAAAACTGAGAGGCCAAATTAGATGCCCAAAGGAGAACCACTAATGTTACTGGTGCCTTCCTTATAAGAGGACACTTATATTCAGTCAGAATCTAGTAACTTTTACTTAATGAGTTTATCTGATTTCCCAGTCTATGATTGGTTGAAGAAGAAAATTATAAACAGATAATGACCATAACAGAAAGTTACACTGATATTAGCAAGGATTATCAGCCTGTTAGTGAGCAAAGAGATAAGAAAATTAGTTAAGCAAATAAATAAACAAACAAACAGCATAACTGCTTAAAGAGCGAAGCAGTCTGGGGCATTTCATATACATAGCTCAGTGTCCTTAAGGCATTCCTGAATTGCGACTGAAGACAGAAATGACAATTACCACTATAAGGTGTTCTATGACCTCTTTAAAAGTAACAGTCTGTATACAGCATTTTATACTCTCAGCAAAAGGTAAAATAAAAAATTAAAACATTTAGAGTTTAAAGATAATAAATCTCAGTTCTCTGGAAAATGAATGTAGATTCTGAGGACAACGCTATACAAACATGATCTATTCCTCTCCATTTTTCTTTGCTGGTACCTTACACCCCAGCCCACCCCCACCTTTTACGGAGAAAGTTAAAACCTTAACTCTACAACCTGTCCCAAGAAAGAGTTCTTCTGAATGGAGACATCTCGAGATCCCCAATACTATTTCTTGGCTTAATGTGGAAGTCTAATCAATTAGTATCAGGACATGTTGCCATCACTGGATTTATTCATATACAGTCTCATTAATCTATGTCTTATCACATATACGGAGTCCCCCTACTGAGTGGTTCTTAAACTACACTTATCATAAAACACCCAATTCTGATTCAGAGGGTCTGGGGTGGGATGCTAAGGCTATTATGAATCAGGTGGTCAGGGAATACAATCAGAGGAACACTGTCATACAGCCTCCCTTATGCAGTCATACTTACACTCAATTATTATTTGCTTTGTCCCTTCACACACAGAAGGTTTTCACTCAAGCACTGGTGAATATTTGGTCTAGGACATAGCATTCCAATAGTTAATCTCCATCTACCAAGTCTCTAGGTACCTGTTATATCAAGGTTTTCACCACTACAGTCTAATTCTCCACTTTTTTTTTTCCCCAACAGTATGCAAGCACTTATTTTTTGGGATTGGGTTTTTCTGCTACTTTCTTGTACTAGCTAGTAAATCAAGGGACTAAAACTTTGTTTCATCTGCTTGTTAAAACTATAGCTTTGTTTTGTTTTTTCACTACCCTAAAGGTTCTAGATTTGAAATAGACAAGGGCATATGTGAGATAATTTTAAAGAGTATACGTTACCTCATTGTAAGGTGAAAAAATAAACTGGAAGATGATCAATAGTCCAATTAGAGTGGGTTGGCTGTCATAAAAACCAAATGCAACAAAAAGCTCCTTTCGACCAATTAATACAGCAAACAAGAAAAAACACAGGAAAGAATTCATCTAGAAAGAAGGATACAAAATTTCTGAGTTATTTCTAAGCTGATTTCACTGTGGGATCAGTAGAACAAGACATCATGATGTGATTTTAAGAATGATGTTAATGTAATCACAGAAAATGTTATTTAGGTAGTTTTATAGTTTTACTTTTATTCTAGAAGGAGAGAGGGCCTGAGTTGAGGATATATATACTAATTCATTGTTAGTGGACAAATAATGGTTTAGCTGGATGATTAGGGCCTTGGAAAAAACTAGTGGATGGCTAACAAGAAGATCTGGAAAGGGGTATGTGGTAAAACTTCCAAAATTAGCCCAGAGTATGATAATACTTAGGTCTAACGTGAATGTTCACCAAAAGCGTTCCATGGTAGAGGAGGCCCTCTCAATGATCAGGTGGAGAAGATACCTGCTCTGTGGATGTTAGCCAGGTTCTTTCCTTAGCCACTCTAGGACTTGGTCAAGGGCTCATGAACAGAGTGGCCATGGTGATAGGGATGGAGTCAATGCATTAATCAACAACACAGACATCCCCCCACTGGCTCTTGCTGAGTGTCCAATTTTTCAGAAGAGGCAATCAACCCCGGCCCTGATGAGGTACCTCAGGGACCAGCCCACCACCCTCATGGTAGGCTGATTCTATTGGACCCCTTCCTTCATGAAAGCAGCAGTGATTTTCCTTATTAAACTGAATAACTTACATTAAACTTGGATTTGGACTTATTTAATGTCTTACTCACTGCCATGTATCTGTACAACATAGCTTCCAGCCAAGGAATTCATTTTTATACCTATAGATGTAAGGCAACAGGAAGGTACGTACAGGGGTCCACAAGTCTTCCCATATAATCCATCACCCAGAACCAGCTGGCCTTTTAGAAAGGTACAAAGACCCATTTAAGTCTCAGTTGAGGCCATATATGCTCAGAACCAGTCAACAAAACACAGTGCTACTTCACTTAGAGCCTTAAAACTGTGGTCGCTCTGTTGGTTTAGTGGTATTAATACCCAGAAGAGGAATATTACAGAAATTATTATCTTCTTTATATTTACTACCTCTTCCAATTTTTTTTTCTATGGGTATATAATGACTTTTTTTTTTTTTCAGTACTTGGGCCTCTCACTGTTGGGGCCTCTCCTGTTGCGGAGCACAGGCTCCGGACGCGCAGGCTCAGCAGCCATGGCTCACGAGCCCAGCCACTCCAGGGAAGCCCCTATAATGACTTTTTTAAAAGAGAAAAAATGTTCTTTAAAAAGTATTTTAGGGCTTCCCTGGTGGCGCAGTGGTTGAGAGTCCGCCTGCCGATGCAGGGGACACGGGTTCGTGCCCCGGTCCGGGAAGATCCCACATGCCGCGGAGCGGCTGGGCCTGTGAGCCGTGGCCGCTGAGCCTGCGCGTCCGGAGCCTGTGCTCCGCGACGGGAGAGGCCGCAACAGTGAGAGGTCCGCGTACTGCAAAAAAAAAAATAATAAAGTATTTTAATACCCAAGTTATCTGGGCTCACTCCTTTTGATCTTCACAGCTCCTTAGCTGAGCGACTCAGGAGGTGGTGACGATGACGATGATGATAACAACAATAAATACTTCTATAGTACTTACCGTATTCCAGGTACTACTCCAAACTCTTTACGTATATTAACTCATTTAGTTCTTACATCAGTCCTATGAGATATCATCACTCAAGGGAATGGAGGCAGAGAGAGGCTCAGGAACTTGCCTGAGGTCACACAGGTAGTAAGTCAGGGAGCCGTGATGTGAAGCCTGGCTACAGAGTCTGTATTAACCTCTCTACTATATGAACTCTCATGCGTGCTATATTTATAATTTGACTATCCTGTCATAAAAAGAGAATTGTCACTCCAAACTTACCTGGCTAATAATGATATTTTTGACTGTGTGTCCCAACTTCCAGTGCCCCAGTTCATGGCCTAGCACAGCAAGTACTTCCTCATTTTTACATCCTTGTTTCTTATTCTGAATCAAAGAACAAATTGAAAATAAATTATCAACAAACTTCAAAAAGTTTATACCTTTTAACCCAGAAAGAGCCCTTCTTAGATTCTAACTTAAGAAAACAATCGGACTTTTGTGCAGAACTGTTCATTCACTTAACAAAACATTCCCTGAACCACTCCACATTAAATACCGGGTTAAGCTTGAACACAGAATCATGAACAAGGCAGACGTATTCTGACTTCACGAGTCTACTTTAGATTAGAAAAAATATAAATCTTTATCAATAGGACAATAGTTAAATAAATCACGACACAGTCATGTGACAGCAATATTATAAACCCATTAGAAATTTTGCTTTCAAAGATTATGTTGCAACATGGGAAACTGCTCATGATGGTGCCAAATAACATTTATGTTATACATCCACTAGATGAATATCCACTAGATGTTTTCAAAGATTATGTTCTGACATGGGAAAATGGTTCATTAGGTGAAGAAAGCAGGAAACAAAACTAAAAATATATAGTATGATTCCAATTATGAAAAAATGCGAATGTGTATGTAAAAATACACAAATATAGAAAACAGACTGAAAGTATATCGAAATGTCAACAATAGTTTTTCTATATGGTAGAATTACAGTGATGTTTATTTCATATCTTTCCTATTTTCCAAATTATCTGCTAATAAGGACATGTCACTTATGACCTCCAAAAACACCAGGAAATGCTATTTAAAAAACTGAGACTTCCAAGCTAAGATGGCAGAGGGAACATTCACATATAATTTTATTCCCTCTAAAAACTCCAGTAAAACTACAATCAAGAGTTGTTTTTTTTAAGATATAAACCCACAAGGATAGGGAAAACAGGTGAGGTGGCAAGAGCAACAACATTTTGGAAGCAGGAAAGCAGACAGACAAATGATAATAGACTAGGCAGGCCAAAGGAAGTTACATCATAAGCTAGCAGTGGAGAAAAGAGAACCAGCCTGATTTACACTGGCTGAGAACACTGATTAACACTGAGAGTCTTTAAAGGGCTCGAGAACTAACAGTACCAGGTAATTCTGGAACTGGGGAACAGGAGGTGGTGGCTGAAATAAGAATTGAGAGCTGTGTGAGAAATGGTTAAAGCTCCAGATTCCTTCTCCAACTCCACACCAAAAGGCAAGTGCTCCTCCTCGTTCTGGCAAAAGCCTGAAAGCTCATTCTCCCTGGATAGGGCAAAAGAATAGGGCACTTCAACTGGGAGTTCGACATAGTTGAGGGCCTGGGTACACTAGCAACAGACCATGTATTTGCTTACCTAATGGTATGGTACACTGAACACTGAGAACTCCCTCTCCCAAGCTAGTCCTCTCCCCATACCTGGCTCCCAGATAACTACCCACCAGGCAAAAGATTAGAAGAGTACTCCCTGGGAACTGACCATTCTACCAGGAAAGACCTGAAGATACTAACAGCAGGTACTCCTCAACTACAAGCACATCCAAGCCAAGCTACAGTGAAGCTCAAATTTGATAAGCCTTATCTACAGGCTCAGAGATTCCAATCAGGTTTTCAGTCCCATTCCTTTACTAAGGAGTACACGAACAAGGATTATCAGGTACACAAGGTAAGTAAGCTGTTAAGATGGAAGACCAGATACAGAAAAAAATGCAGTATGGAAGAAACAGAAATGATAGAAGGAGAAAATTCAGAGATAAGATATTATATTCGTGGAAAAACAGAGGATACTGTAAAAATGGGAAATTCAGAGAAAAGTAAATCTTGGAAATTAAAGCTTAATAGAATGATTGGAAGGACTACCCTGGTGGCACAGTGGTTAAGAATCTGCCTGCCAATGCAAGGGACACGGATTCGAGCCCTAGTCTGGGAAGATTTCACATGCTGTGGAGCAACTAAGCCTGTGCGCCACAACTAATGAGCCTACACTCTACAGCCCGCGAGCCACAACTACTGAAGCCCATGCGCCTAGAGCCCGTGCTCCGCAGCAAGAGAAGCCACCACAATGAGAAGCCCACGCACAGCAAGGAAGACCCAATGCAGCCAAAAATAAATAAATAAATTTATTTAAAAAAGAAAAAGGTTGGGAGATGATGGAATCTCCCAGAAAATAGAAGAAATAAAGAAATGGAAAAGCAGGAGAGAAAAGCTAAGAAAGTTCAATATAAGGAAGCCAACATTCAAATAATAGGAACTCTGAAAAGAGAGAATAAAAAAATGGAGAGGAGAAAATCATCAACAGAACAATTCCAGAAAGTTTCCTAGTACCAAAGAACCTCAGCTTCCAAATTAAAAGGACCCAATGCATACCCAGCACAATGGGTAAAAACAGACCCACTGTGTTGTCCATTTGAAACTAATATAATATTGCAAATCAACTATACTTCAATTTAAAAAAAAGGCTCACACCAAGGCATGTGAAATCTCAGAACACAGAGAAAGGATCCAACAATTTTCTAGAAGCGTAAAAATTAAGGTAACATACTAAGGATAAGTAAACTGAATGATTTCAGACACCTCACCAGCAATGTTGAAATCAAGAAGACGACGGAGAGAGTTCCCTGGTGGCCTAATGGTTAGGATTCCGGGCTTTCACTGTTGCAGCCCAAGTTCTATCCCTGGTAGGGGAACTGAGATCCCACAAGCTGTGTGGCGTGGCCAAAAAATTAATTAATTTTTAAAAATAAAAATAAAGCAATTTTAAAAAAAAGACGATGGAAAAATGCCTTCACAATCTTGAAGAAAAAGTATTTCCAATCTAGAAATCTAAACCCCAGTCAAAGTGACAGAAAAGAATGTGACAGAAAAGTGAAGGCATTTTGATGCCAGGACTCAAAAACTTTACTATGCAGTCTTTCTCAGGAAGGTACTGGATTGAGGATGTTCTTTACCAAAATGAAGGAGTAAATTAAGGAACAAAAAGTCATGGAATACAGAACACAGGAGACCCAATGTAGGAGAGAAGTGAAGGAAATCTCTAATGGTAAAGGGCAACCCCAGAATGACATCTATACACCAGCTAGAGAGGGTAACCCATCCAGATTTGAACAGTGTGACTCGAAAGAAAATCTGTTAAGGGCTGCCATGATCACACTCTCAGTCACCATACCATCTTTTTAACCTGATGAAACTAGTAGAAGATGTACACTATCAAGAGAACACAGCAAATCAACATGGAATCAAGGATGAGCACAAGGGAAGTCCAGTATGAGAGCTGAAGAGCAGGGCTTCAGAGAAACCACCCCAAAGAAAGAAAATAGAGATCTCTTTTGGGGTGTGGCAGGGATGAGGGGGACTAAAACTGATAAGGTTAATGATGCAATTAAACTTGTAGGAAATTATACTGAAAGACAGCAGAAGTTGTGAGAAGAATTAGCAAAAAGATAAAAGGAAAACTAAGCACACTTAAAAAAAAAAGCAATTATTAAGCAAGAGGGAAAAAAGGTAAGGCATGCTCAGCAGTGAATAGGCACAACACTGTTTTACAATAATGTTTACAAAAATGTTTTGATACTGATTAAACCAAGAACTGTAACAGGACTATATTGGAAGAACTGAGGGAAGGGAGGAGCAGAGCGGATGTTAGGACAAGAGCTAAATCCTCATCTACCGTAAGTGAAAGTCAAGAGATAATAGTGTCAGGGACTTCGCTGGCGGCCCAGTGGTTAAGACTCTGCGCTTCCACCGCAGGGGGCGCGGGGTGGATCCCTGGCTGGGGAAACTAAGATGTCACATGCCGTGCGGTGCAGAAAAAAAAAAAAAAAAAAAAAGAGATAGGGTCAATAAATAATAGTACACATACAATATAGAAAAATGATATGTGTAAATGTCAGAAGAAGCTAAAAGAGTTGCAGTCTGTGGGGAAAGGGCTCTGGCAGCACGTGAGCAGCACAGAGAAGTGAGAAACATGAAACTGCTATATTTTATTATATGCTTTTTTTGTACTCTGAACTTCTAAACAGTATGTTTGTGTTACTTTAATAAAGTAAAATTTAATGTTAAAATTTATTGGAGTTCTGCTTCCCTAACTTTATGATAGCCTCTCAAACCAACATTACAAATATATATGTAAATACACACACACACATATACACACAAAAATATATACATACACATGCATACATTTTGTTTTTCCTTCAACACATATGAAGAATAGGCCAGGAAAGATTAAAAAAGTAACAACAAAGTTGCTAACATTTATTAAACAGTGACTGTGTACCAGGTCCTCTGTGCTAAATACTGTATTATAGCTCATTTATACATCATAATCACCATATTAGATAAGTACACTTTTAAAGATGAGAAAATCTTTAAATAAGTACACTTTTAAAGATGAGAAAATCTAGACAACTGATGGGAACATACTGTATAGCATAGGGAACTCTACCTAATGCACTGTGGTAACCTAAATGGGAGGGAGGTCCAAAAGGGAGGGGATACCTGTATGTGTATGGCTGATTCATTTTCTTGTGCAGTGGCGGCTAACACAACATTGTAAAGCAATTAATTAATAAAAATTAATTAAAAAAATAAAGATGAGAAAATCTAGGTACAGAGAAATTAACTAATTTTCCTATGGCCACACAGCCAATAAATAGAAAACCTGGGATGTGAAGCCAAGTAGTCTGATGCCAGAGACCTGTGCTTTCAACTTTCACACAGCTATAAATATAAAAGTAAATTATTCAACATTTATCAAATAAACAATTTTTTTAGTCAACAGATATGTAATCATTTGCATATTATTATAGTACTGGTTTTAAAATAACTAAACATAGGGAATTCCCTGGTGGTCCAGTGGTTAGGACTCCATGCTTCCACCGCAGGGGGCACAGGTTGGATCCCTGGTCTGGGAACTAAGTTCCTGCACGCCGCATAAAAATAAATAAATTAAATTAAATAACTAAACCTAAATGGTAGGTGGTCATATGAATGATAAAATATAATATTTTCAAAGCCAAATAAAATTCTCACTGTTTATAAACTTTCCAGATTAAATTTAAATAGTGCC